ACGTGTCTGTGTGATGGGGTGGTGTGAAAATGTGGAGTGTGTTGAGTGGGTGGTGTGTGAGTATGTGGTGGTTGAGTGTGTGATGTGTGCATGAGCCTAAACGTCTGTGGAAGGTAGCAAGTTTGTGTGTGTGTGTGTAAATGTGTGTGTTGAGGGAGTGGTAGGTGAAGGTGCTGTGTGATGTGTGTGTGCTTTGTGAGTTGGGAGTGCATGGATGTAAGGGAGATAAAGGTGCAAGTGTGGTGTGTGTGGGTGTGATGTGTGCGTGAGTGTGAGGGTGGGATGGGTAGTGTGGAGTGGGTGAATACTACATATGTAGATGAATAGTGTTTGTATATGATATCTATTGATGCGTGTGCTGTGCACATGTGACATGTGAGAAGGTGTATGTCTTGAATATGTGTGTGTGCTGAGTGTGTGTTGTGTGAAAAGCTTGTATATGTGGTGAGGGTGCTGTGTGCATTTGTGAATGTGGGTGTATATGTCATATGTGTGCATGTGTGGTGTCCGTGTGCTGTGTGCATGGTGCATGTATGTATATGCTGTGTGTGTGTGATGTGTATGTGTGTATGCATGAGGAGTATACATGCGTGGTGTCTACGCTCAGTACAAGAGATTTGTGTGTATGTGTGCTGTGTGTATGTGGGGGGTGTGTACACACATGGTGGGTATACATATGTGGTGTTTGTGTGTGTGTGTGAGCAGTATGTATACATGTGTGCTGTGTGTATGTGGTGTGTGTGTACACACATGGTGGGTATACATGTGTGCTGTGTGTGAGCAGTATGTATACATGTGTGCCGTGTGTATGTGAGGTGTGTGCACACACTGGTTATGCATGAGATGCATGTGCATGCATGTTGTGTGTGTGGTGCATGCACACATGAGGAGTATGCATGCATGGTGTCTATGCCGAATACAAGAGATTTGTGTGCACGTGTGCCGTGTGTATGTGGTGTATGTATACATGTGTGCTGTGTTTATGTAGGGTGTGTGCACACATTGGTTATGCATGTATGTGCTGTGTGTATGAGATGCATGTGCATGCATGCTCTGGGGGTGTGTGCGTGTGCGCACGATGGATAAGCATGTTTGGTGTCTGTGTGTGCTGTGAGCAGGAAATGCATGCTCATGTGTGCTGTGTGTTTGGGGGGTGTGTGCACATCTGTGATGGGTGTACGTGTGTGGTGTTTGTATGCTCAGGGGAGGGCAGTCCTGGTCCCCTTGTGTGAGCTCACCTGTCTTCTAGCTCTCCCCTGCCCGCATCCACAGAGGGGACTTGCCAAAGCCCACATACTTTGTTCCCTTTTCAATATTTGTTCTCTTTAGAATCGCTGGAGATTAAGCTGAGCACACTTGTGTTTGTTAGGGAAGCAGGGTTTCCCGCTGGAAGCCGTGCAAGACAGTGCCTTTCAGAGCCTAGGGTTAGGGGTTGTGGTGCCCTGGGCTGGCTGGGAGCCAGAGGCCTGGGATGTAGCCTGTGGGGCCCGGGCACATGCTGTGGGTATGGTGACAGGTGGGGCACAACTGGAGGTAAATGAAGTTGGCATTGAGCAGCCTGTAATCTGATGGAGGGAGTGTTTAGGGATTAATCCTCCTGTTGGAAAAAGAACAAAACAAATCTGCCTTGTACCATGGTACTCCTTAGAGGCAAGGATGGTGAAACCTCATCTCACATCCTTTGGGCATGGTGCCACTTCTTAGAAAAAGACGTCATCATGTTGGGGAGGCCGAGAGGGTCAGCAAAAGGCAAGAAACCCCTCTAGGAGATGGATTGACACAGGGACAGTGACAGAGGGCTGCAGCATGAGGGTGGCACAGGACAGACCTGTCATTACAGGGTTTGTATGCACCATAGTCAGCATCCACTAAACGGAATTTAACATCGATGACATGGGGAAGAGCCCTGGTGCTCAGTGGATGGCTGGCTGAATGGGAGACAATCTGAGCCCCTCAGGGTTTCATGCAGGAGAGAGCTGGTGCTGTGCTGTGAAGAGTGCAGCCTTGAACACTCCGGGCTCTGTACACTGTCATGAATGGGTATTGACTCGGCGCACACAACAAGGTTCTGTGGCCAACTCTATGCAGAGCTACTTAGAATCTAAAGAGACCAAGAAGATGAGGCTGTCTGTACATAGATGGGATAGGAATTGGCATGTTCATTCAGCTGGTGCAGGAAACCCCACATGTTTTGCCCAGAGCTTTCTCTGACTTGGTTGAATGAGGGTCGTCTGGTCCCTTGGGAAATGTTTCATCGGGGTCACTTTATTGATTACACCCTTACCCCTCAATGTGTCTTAGGAGCATATAATTTACCAAATAAAGCAAGTGCATTTTCTGAATGAACAGAAGAGCTAGGAAGAGTGTGTGTCCGGTTCTGACTTGTACGTTCTGTCCTGATTCGTATCGTCTCCTGTAAACCAGTGAACCAGTTCTTTCCCTTTAAATTTCTGGTGAGCCAAGCACAAAGCGAGCACCAACTGTATGCACCTCTGAGTCAGACTCTAGGATAGAAACACCACTACAATGAGCTCACTGTGGAAGCAGTTGCTGACCATGTCCCTCAGGGACACTGCCCCACATGCTGTTTTTGGGGTTCCTGCATCTTCCTCTTCTTCTCAGGTGTGGGCAGGAGTCTCCCCTCATCCTGCCTCTCTGTTCTAGAACTCTCAGTCATCCCCACGGTGACTTGAGCTGACAGTTTCTATGAAGATAGCTTAGTGAGCCTGTTAGAAAAACAAGATCACAGGGTCATTGAGGCTCAGAGACGTAGTCCCTGCCCCTCGGGCCATGTCCTACTTTGTGTTGAGGGTAAGGTTAAGAAGAAAAGGTTGGATTTGAACTAAGATCAGCAGCAGATAAGTAGAAAATAAAGCAGAGTGAGAGACTGTGCCCTTTATCTGTCTGTCTATCTGTCTATCTATCTATCTATCTATCTATCTATCTATCTATCTATCTATCTATCTATCTATCTATCTTATGTGTGTACCGTCAAATTGGATCTGACTGGTACAGGAGGCGATTTTCCCTCCTTCTTCAGCAGAGCATCTGGTGGATTTGAACCGCGCACCTCTGAGATTGCAGTGCAGTTTCCTGCCACTAGACCACCAGAGCTCGCCGAGTATGCCCTTTAGAGGCTTCATCTCACATGCTTCTGGCATGTTGTCAGGAAGGGCGAGTCCTTGGCAAAGAACATTGTGCTTGGGGTCAGCAAAAGAGAGGACAGTCCTCTAGGGGATGGATCAACAGAGTGACTGCACAATGGTCCTGAGCGTGAGAGATTGTGAGGACGACACCGGATGGAGCAGGGTTTTGATTTGGTGTATGTATGCTTGGGAAGATGGAGGGGCAGCGAGAGAGAGGAAGACCCTCACGAAGGTTACCTGACACTGAGTGCAGCAGTGGGCTCTAGAGAGCCAGAGGTGAAGAGGTTGGCGCAGAGGACGGGGCTCAGATCTGTTGTGTACAGGCTTGCCAGCAGTGGTTCCTACTCAACTTGACAACAACATGTATATGAATTGGAGTCACTTCTGTAGTGCCTGAGAGCAACAGACAGAGATGGGGCAGAAGGCGGGGGGTGGAAAGAAGGAGAGAAAGAGAGGCAGGGAGAGAGAGAGTAAGGGGAAAAGAGAGAGGGGGTGAGAGAGAGAAAGGAATGAGAGAGGGGAAGGGAGGAGAGAGAGAGGGGGTGAGGGAGGGAGGGGTACAGAAAGAGAGACGGGGCGAGAGTGAGCATGAGAGAGTGAGTGCACACACATAAGGCTGGAAGGAAAATGAAACACGTCCTTTTGCAGGGAGCCCCTGAATATCTGATTGGTGCTGGAGGCATAGTGCTGTGTGGTGCAGTGGTTAGAGCTTAGCCTTGGAAGGCAATTATTATTATTATTTTAAAATTTTTTTTATTGTATTATTTTTACGTGTGTACCATCAAATCAGGCCTGACTGGTACAGGAGGAGATTGCCCCCTCCTTCTCCAGCATATTATTTTGTTGTTGTTGTTCTTTTTTAACAAACCATTGAGTTGAGACTCTGCCTGATGAACCACATGGGTGTCACCCATGGGCAGCCACCCCAGCTAAGAATCACAGCCGTGGAAACTGCAGATCTCTGGCGTCCTGCGCCGTGTGGCGGTCACTAGGGCCGCTCATCCTGTTGAGTCTCCTCTTCCTCTGACCCCTCTCCTTTCCCAGTCTTTCCCCAGGGCTGCCCCTTCCTGATAACATTCCCAAAGACGTCACATGAAGTTTCACCGTCTTGGCCTTTCAGGCGCTCCCTGGTTGTTCATCCTCTAGGAATGAATGCAGTGAGGGTCTGCAAATGGGCATGTGTTGTCAGGAGGGACCCAGGCCTGGAAAAAGACATTGTCCGGGGAAAAGTGGGCAGTCAGAGAAAGAGAGGACGACCTCCGCGAGATGGGTTAACACAGTGACTGGAGCGGGACTCGGGATGGCTGAGGATGGTGTGTGCGGCTTAGGGCGACTCTTGGGATCTGACTGTGAGCTGTGTATGAGTCATAGTCAACTTGATGACACTCAATGACAACAACTGGTAGCTTCCAGACCGCACAGCCGTCTCTACAAAGCCCTGGTGGCTTTGAAGAAATGAAGGGTCTTTGCTGAGGACCCCTTGCAGAACCTTCTCTGAGCCCTCGCTGGCCCTCCAGCCCCTCCCCGCAGCTTTGGGGGTGGCCTTTTGCTAGTGTCCTGCCCCCGGGATTACAGAGGGACTTTCTTTAAGCTGTCTAGAGCAGTGTGGTGGAGGCACAGCCAGGTGACCGTTGCCCTTCTCTTTCTTGTCAGGAATGGTGCCTGAGGGAGTGACTGACCCCACTGGACAAGGCTGGTCCACACCCTTCACCGCATGACCACCCGGCCAGACAACTGAGCCCTTCCCAGCACGCCTCTGCTGCACCAGGACGCTGCCTTCTTTCTGGAAGCTTCCAGAGCCTCCGGGGCAGGGGGGCCCCTGCTCTCCCTCATGTTCTGGGGAGCTGGCTAGCCATGGCTCGTGTCGCCGGCTGCCTGCTGCTGCTGGGTCTGTGTGGGGAGACCCTGACTGCAGAGCCCCCTGCGTCCACACACAATGACGATGATTTAGACTTTGTCTTTCCTGCGGTCAGCTATGAGACAGGGGGCTCCCCCAGTTCGGGGCCCATTGGGGCACTCTTTGCGATGGTGCACACCTTCCTCCATGTGGTCCAGCCTCACGCCTTCCCTGAAGGTAAGTGCCCCGTTGAAAAGACCAGGCAGAAGAGGGTTGGTGGCAGAACCATACACAGCCATCATCTCTGCTGCTTAATGCAGCAATTTTCTATCTATGAGACAGTCACTGCGTAAGGTCTGGGGCTCCAGAACCATACACGCAGGAATGGGAAAGTGGAATCAGAGGCTAACTTTTACACCAGCTGAAATAGGCCTCCAGGGATGGAGTTTATAAGAAATGGACTCAAGCTATGTTGCTAGGCTGTTTTCCAAACCTTTTATCTTCTTCTCTTTCTGAGGTCCCCCTCTTCCACACACTCACCCTTCCCTCTTCTTTATGGTCAGGGCCAGGAATTATTCTAAATTAATGGTTGAAAGTAAAGGCTCAAGATGCAAATGATTCATCTTGAAATGAGGAGTTAATAATTACCTGGGACCTCTTCCCCGGGGCTAGTGCTTAACATTGAATGCTTCTCCTTCCTTCCACCCCAGTTTTCCTGTTGAGGTTTCGGAGGACAAAGGCCGGCAGACCTCCTGGGGTCTTACCCGGTTCACCTGTTTCCTCCCCCCCCCCCACAGTAGAGTCTGGGTGTGAGGAAGGGGTGGGGGTGGTGGCTTGCTAGAACTTTCTAGACAAAGTGCTCAGATATACATATTTTTTTTATACATAGTCCTGTCTGTCACTGTGGTGATTTTGCCTTTGTTGACTCTATTCATCTGCACCCCAGTGTTTTCAGGGTACATATGTACAAGGACAGAATTCTGAAGCAGAAATGATCATGGAATTTTATTTTATTTTATTTTGGGCTTCTCGGTTTGGCAGTCTAGATTTTTGATTGGCTTCGTGTTAGACTTAACTCTGGCTTGCTGTGGAAACTCTGAAAACTTGGGTTCTGTTGCTGATTCCCTAAAATTGTAAACTGTGTAGTAGTCTTTATAATTCTATAGCCAATCAGGTACTGTTTATAAGAGATTTATATGTGTGTGTGTGTGTGTGTGAGAGAGAGAGAGAGAGAGAGAGGGAGGCAGAGAAACACAGAGAGACAGACAGAGATAGATACACACAGAGAGAAAGGTGGTGGAAGTGTTTATACTTACTGAATTTCATTACTTGCTTGGCATTGGTTTGTTTTTCATGTTTATTGGTAATAGTTTAAGCAATTGAACAGAGTAAGTAGTTGTCACTTTTTGGTACGCTGAGTTCAGTGAGAGCAGAGACTCCAAGCCCTGATTCTGATGGAAGAGGATCCTGAACAAATCCAGTTGGTCGTCTGTGGCACCATCTGAAAGGTGAAACTGGGAAATAAAAGGCTAGATGCAGAAAAGAAACAGCATGTGTTAATGTTGAACAAACATACTCTTCTGGATAATTCTCTTTGTCAGTTTGGAGACTTTGCACAAACGTTATTGAACAGACAGATGCCTGCCAGTGAGCCTAGCCTTTTTTCCCTCTTTTACACCAAAGGCATACAATTCTGTTGCATAGTAGGAATCTGCAATGATGACGTCTTTGCAGAGACTAGGAAGGGAGCGACCTCTTCTAAGGCTATTGTGTAATTAGTTAATCCTGTAATCTCGTACCATATGTTAGGCCATTTTGCTTTCTCTAGATTTCACACATGGCCAGACTCCTCTGCAATTCCTTCTCAAGAGAGACCTGCAGTTTGAAAACCTTCTTTTGAATGGTCAGGCAAACTTTAGCTTCAGGCAGAACTTCCAGTGAATTGTCCGATGTTGAAGTCCGCCATCATCAGTCTAGGAGGCAGTGTCTGAAAATCCTAATGCAATTTGAAGGAGTTAGCCTACTTTCCCTCTGACCTGCATCAGTACTTATTCCTCAGAAGAGTTTCTAAAAGCTCAGCAGCAGATCTGAGAATTACTCTCCTCTATTTTATTAGTGACTGTGACGTTTTTAAATAGTTTAAAAAACACAAAATACACAGATGACACTAGAAAGTGTTTACACAAAGGTCACGTCTCCCTGGTGGTCAGAACCCACCTCCAGCTCTGGGGCCAAAAGATAAGGAATCAGTCTTGTCTTGTGCAATTTATAGCCCTGGAAACCCAGACAGCAATGAGGTCCTTTGGTGTTTTGGTTGTTGGCTTGCTTTTAGATTACACCATTTACGTTCTTTTGTCAAATTATGAGATTACTTAAATAATCTAGCCTTTTTGGCGACGTAAATGACACATACCAGACAGCTCAGGTTTTTCCACGAGGGCAAATGCATTTCATAAGTGCCAAAGCCATCTTAATTGGGGAGGAAAAGAGATTGAAATTTAAAAATATTTCAATGAAATATTTTATTTAAATATTTTAATTTAAC